GAAAAGGAAAAAGGAGGAGTTCTGGCAACTCGACACCAGGCGACTACACAGTGAACCAATAGCAAATTTACTTTTGTACTGTAATTTTGCCCTCAAGCTGAGTTTTCTATGGAGTAAAAGAGCGTGAGGGAACTTTTGGTTCACAATGGTGTATGCATAAACGTTCATGTTGGACCTTTCAGTTTTATGATATGAAACGTGAGTTACCGTCACTCTGCCAGTGCCAAAGCTTCACCAAAGATCCAACATATATAGCTTTGAAGAGCGTACACCTTGATTCAACAGTGAGTGTGTACCCAAGCTGCCAATCAGCTGTTCGTAACTGGACATCGAAAGAGAGGGGCTGGACAAGAGGAGAGCATTGAATTTGTTTCCTGGAACACAACTAGTTGGTCACTGAATTTCTTACTCCTACTCTGTCCATTTGGTCCAGCAGCTGCAGTTCGTATGGACCCCTCCTTTCCGGCTGCAGTTTCGCCGAGGGAAATAATCATATCAGAATGAAGAGCATTTGAGATGAACTCGTGAAAAGTTTTTTTTTTTGGTTGGCGGGTGTGGCACAGAGATCATTCAATTATGCAGATGCTCCTTGTTGTTGTTACCACTTATAAGCTGACAGTATTATGATGATTTTGGTGAGAAAGAATCACAAGTTCATAACGCAATGCGACGGTCTTTATGACTAAACGGGGCAACTTGTAAAACCTTTTTCTTTTTCTACAAAAGCACAAGCATGCGGATCATATATTCATAGAAGAAGAGCCAAGACGGCTGATACAACGCCTTTCGGCAACGTGCCACACCGAAAGGTTAGCACCCACATCCATCGTGAGTCCATGACAGCACAGAAAAACAACTCGTCCTGCCCAAACTCAAGCCAAACAATGGCGAAGGGGGGAGACACAGAGCACACAGGCCGCGTCCCCACGTACCTAACACCTAAGAGCACGACAAAAACACCTAACTAAACTAAATCAACGCACTCTCCACCCATGGTGTCTAGGAGACCGGCAAGTGGACGGCAGGAGCTAGCCTGACTCGAAGAAGATGTCACACATGAGGCGTCGATGATGAAGTACATGGCGCCCCGGATGCTCATGCGGAGCGGCGGAGCTTCACGAAAATACATGGGCGGGCCGGCGGGTCCTAGTTGAAGGAAATTACTGTTAGGCTGTTATTCCATGGCTGAATAGTAGGCATAGATTTGCACGAGCTGTGCGAGCCCCAGCTGTAGCTCTGCCGCTGCTCATGCCCACAGCAACAACCCACATATAGGCAACCCACACCAGCTGCTTCTGTCGAAGACACCCCGCACACCTAGGTAGAACCTCCAAGAAGGGGATGATGCCAAGAGGCCACCGTTGCCTGGCCTAGCGAACTGGCCCTAGAGTTTTCCCTAGTGCCAGAAAAGGGGATGGACATGGCAATGGCAACGCCTCGAGGGAGGAGACGACACCCACATGCGTCGCCATTGCACACAGCCGTAGCAGCGCATCCACCACCACCCCTAGTCACCGCACAAGCAACCGAAAGAATCTTCCATAGGGAGACCAGGGGATGCATCCACCGTCCACAATCCTGCCATCCCCATAACCAGGGAGTGCAGCACCGTCGTCGGGACGCCGCCGCACCACCGGATCGAGCCGCAACGCCTGACAAGCCACCTCATCACACCTCCGCCCCAGATAGAAGAAGGCGACCCCACCTCACCCTGGGCCCGCCGCCCCAGTGTACCAACACCGGACCACCGACGTGCGCACCCAGCCAAAACAGTGGCCACCGCGACCTACCAGCACACATCAGCGCCACCATGGAGGCCAGCCACCAGCTGCCCACGGATGCCACCACGCAGCACCATTGTCCCGCATGCAGATCCAGCAACTAGAGCCCAGATCCGGCCAGGCCGCCCGACCCCTATAGCCGAAGACGTTGCTGCCTGTCGAGTGCGTACCACCTGAGCTGACGTTCGCCGGCCAAGTCTTCCCTGGGCCGTCACCACGGCCTCCTCGCGCTGGTCTGCCAGCCACCGCCATCCCAGTGAATGGGACTGGTCCCAGCGCCGCCCTGGGAGAGGGAGAGAGCACCCCCTCGTGTGCCTTCGCGACTTTGTTTCCTTCCAAATACTTGTTTCGCGAGATAAAAATTCTTTATATGTACTCCCAAATGTTTTGACCACTGTATCATAAGTTTCTCCACTGTTTTTGTTTTGAGTTGTTTTTCTAACAGATCTAGATCACCATGTCGTCCCAAGAGTCAAACGGAGAGAGCTATGTTTCGCACATCACCGCAAACCCCAAAGTTTACGGGGAAGTTGATTCGCATGGATGGACAATGGAAGAGTAGGACTATGCCTATCTGCATAAGGAGTCCTCAAGTGAGAGGGGGAGGGAAGACGTTCCCCTACCTGAACCAGGGGACATGCATGTGGAGTTCAAGAAGTCAAGCCTTCCAAAAACAATAAAAGAATCTAAGTTTCAACTTATTCCTTTTCATCTTCTACAGGAAAACAAAAATGAATTGTGTCGCGAGATATTAAACCTTGAGTAAGAGGTCGGTAAGCTGAAAGAGGAAAATCACATCCTCCAGTGGCGGAGCAAGCCCACCACCTCATCACCATCGTCACCGAAGAAAGGAGCTTGAGTACATGGGTATGGGCACCACCCTTAGCTTGTTCCAAGCTTGGGGAGGTACCCCGGTATCGTATCATCATCACTTTCTATAATTGTTATCTATCTTAGTTCGATCTTTAGTTATTTTGTAATTTAGAAGAATAAAAGTTTTAGTAACATCTAGTTTTGAGTTCTTGGTTTGTGATCCATCTACCTATGTTATCAAGTGTGACAGTTATACAATGAAGATTAGTTTGAAGTTTTCCTTTACTTCCGTATTTCAATCTTAGCAATGAAAAGAATGAAAAAGATCATATGCTAGTCCCATGGGAAGTGATGACTTCACATAAAAGGAGTATAATGGATAAAAAATGTTGGAAGTTACCAAACATAGTAATGGCCATTTATGCAATTCATGAAAAAGTAATAAAGGAAGAGAGATATCACATATAAATATAATATCTTGCCCATCTTCTGCTATATGAAGGGTTTTACCCAGGAAAAAATAAGGAGCGAACTTTTGGGACGAAGCGCCGCCATCTCGAGGTGGAACCTGACCGAGAGCACTTCTTCTCTCTAGCGGAGAGATTTCGCCGAGGATATTTCCCTCCGTAAGGGGGAAATCGGAGCCATTGACATCACCAACGATCCTCTCATCGTGGGAGGACCAATCTTTATCAAAATCTTCACACCATCTCACCTCACACCCTAGTTTATCTCTAGTATTCAATCTTTGTTTCAAGACCTCAGATCGGTACATGTGGGTTGCTAGTAGTGTTGATTACATCTTGTAGTTGATGCTAGTTAATTTATTTGGTGGAAAACTATATGTTCAGATCCTTAAGCATGTTGATTACATCTCATCAAATTATATGTTGATTACATATTGAATACCTCTCTAATCTTGAACATGAACATGCTTTTTGAGTATTTACTTTTGTTCTTGGGAACATGTGAGAAGTCTTGTAATAAGTAACCATGTAAAGTTGGTATTCGTTCGATATTTTGATGATATATATGTTCTTCTTTCTTTATTGGAGTCGTGTGAATGTCGACTACATGACACTTCATCATATTTGGGTCTAAGAGAAGGCATTAGGGAGTAACAAGTAGATGATAGTTTGCGAGTTGCGACAGTGCCAGAAGGTTAAACCCTAGTTTATGAGTTACTCTATAAGGGGCTAATTTGCATCCATATGTTTCATGCTATGGTTAGATTTATCTTAATTATTTTTTCGTAATCACGGATGCTTTCAAGAGGGCTTAATCATAAGAGGGTTGCTTGTTCAAGTATGAACAACACCCTAGCATAGGTCTACCCACATATCAAATTATCAAAATAGCAACGTGAATCAACTTAACACGATGAAAAGTGAATAAACGAATTCCCATGTGTACTCGAGAACTTTTTGTTTTATATAAGAGAACTTTTTGGCTTGTCCTTTGTTATAAAAAGGATTGGGCCACCTTCCTGCACCTTTACTATTATTGTTATTTGTTATTTGTTATGAATTACCTTGCTACAAAACTATCTGTTACCGCTATGTACAGCATTTGCAAGGAATATCTTGCTGAAAACCGCTTATCGTTTTCTTCTACTCCTCGTTGGGCTCGACACTTTTACTTATCAAAAGTATATATAATTGATCCCCTGCACTTGTGGATCAGAATCGCCACTGAGGCCGACCAGGCTTCGCCCGTCAGCGTGGGCCAACGGCGGCAAGGGAAAAGGAAGGGAGTGGCGCGCTAGGGCCGACGGCTAAGGCTCCCCCTCTGGGCCGCTCGTGGCAGCAATACGGGAGGGTGGGGGTGAGTTGCTCTCGGTTGGGAAAGAAATTGGATAATCGAATTTATCCTTCCTTATGGTCTTATTGGGGATGGGTTGGAAATGGGATATCCAGGCGTCGGTGTTATTTCAGATCAACTGCTGACATGCAAGTTGCTTCTTTTTAAGGCTTACTCATAGTTTATCCTCGTTGATATCCTCGCTGACATTATTCAGTTATATATGGGATGAAACATACAAGGCTTTGTGCTTGCTTGCTCACGGCAGATATGTACGTAGTACTGTACAGTTCGCCGCCTGCAATTTTCTTGCCCTCCCCATCCATGGCAGGCATCTGCTTCTTTCGTCAGACACAAGCAAAGCGCCAAAGCGATCCAAAGCATCTCCCTTTATTCTTTCTCTTCTTTGGCACACAAGTAATGCAAAGCAAAGCATCATCTCGAAAATTGGTCCGGGCATCGCATACTTTCTTTCCCACGTTCATTCTCCTTCGCATTCACTTCACCTCATCACCTGGACTACTATCCATTGAGCCACCCACCACCGGCGACCGACTGAGATCAGCGCACCACCGGTTGAGCCACCCAAGCCGGCGACTGACTGAGATGGGCTCCCTGCTGATGCCGCTGCTCGGCAGCGTCGCTGCCAAGGCCGGCGACGCGCTGGTGGCAGAGCTGCTGCGGGCATGGGGGCTGGATAAGTCCCGCCGGAAGCTGGAGCGCCACCTCGCGGCCGTCCAGTGCATCCTGCTGGACGCTGAGGTCAAGAGCCGCACCAACCCTGGTGTCCGCAAGTGGATCAACGACCTCAAGACCGCTGCCTACCAGGCTGATGATGTCCTTGACGAATTCCGCTATGAGGCACTGCGCCGCCGTGTTGCCCAGCTCCGTCGTGCCGCCCAGATCCGTCGCTGCTCCACCGCACGCAAGGTCCGTCCTCGTCTTACCTTCTTCCCAAAGATTTTCCAGTTTATTTTATTTGAAAACAATGGAATGGAAGCCTTTTAATTGCAATATAAGGTTTCAATTCGGAAATGGAAGCCCTTAACTTGATTTCAATTTGTTTGTTTTTATTTTAGGTGCTGACCTACTTCACCGTCAATAGTCCACTTGTTTTCTGTCTTTCCATGAGCAGAAAGATGAAGGAGGCCCTTGACATAATAGATGAACTGGTTGTGGAGATGAACAATTTTCACTTTCTACAACATACCGAGACATCAACCATTGTTCATCCGCACACACACTCTCATGTTGATGAATTAGAGGTTGTCGGCAGACAATATGACAAGGAACAAGTGGTGAAGATATTGCTCGGCCACTCCCATGTAAGTAACAATGATAAGAATAACGTCATGGTGCTCCCTATAGTTGGTATGGGGGGAATTGGTAAGACCACACTTGCTCAACTTGTGCATAATGACCAGAGAGTGGTGCAACATTTTGAGTTGGTCTTATGGGTATGTGTCTCTGATAAGTTCATTATCGAAGAAATAATCCAATCTATAATAGAAGTGGCAACGATGAAGAAGTGTGATTTGACTCAGATGGAGACACTGCAAAAGGAACTTTCTAGAGTTTTGGGCAAGAAAAGGTACCTTCTAGTGCTGGATGATGTGTGGAATGAAGACGAACAGAAGTGGGATGCTATGAGATCACTGCTCTGCTCACATGCTGGCTCAGGTAGTGCTATAATTGTGACAAGCCGCAGCGATCAAGTTGCTTCTATTATGGGCACACTTCCTCTGCATCATATATCACTTCTAGATGACGATCAATCATGGGAGCTTTTTCATAGAAAAGCATTTGGAAGTGAAGTGGAAAAGAATGAGGAATTGATTTCAGTGGCAAAGAACATTGTCCGCAAGTGTAAGGGATTGCCACTTGCTATCAAGACCATAGCAGCTTTACTTCGCTCGAAGCATCATAGTCAGTGGTCTTCTGTTGTGGATAGTGATGTCTGGAAAGATGACATCCTCACAGTTACTGGTATTGTACCTGCACTACAACTTAGCTATGACCACTTGTCATCCGAAGCACAAATATGCTTCTCCTTTTGTGCTATTTTCCCCAAGGATAGCCTGATGGATAAAGACACACTAATCCAGTTATGGATGGCAAATGACTTTATTGCATCTGAAACAAGAGGCCAACAAATTTTCGATATGCTGGTTTGGAGATGTTTTCTGCAAGATGTGGAGATTCAAAAGAATCTGCTCTCCTTAAATAAGGATGACTTCATCCACCGACCAACTACTTGCAAGATGCATGATCTCATGCATGACCTTGCTGAGTCAGTAAGCAGAAATGATTGCTTCATTCTGCAAGAATGTTCATCACATCAAAAAAAAATTCAAGGATCCACAGATGCTAGTTCATTACAACATGAGGTTCGACATTTGTCACTTGATTATGTCAGTAGCAATACTATTGCAGATATGAAGGAAATTCTAGCTCCCCACCCCCGCACAATATTAGTCCAAAGGAAGTTGGAGTGGACTGAGACTTCCTTGGATACGGACAACTCTTTGAGTACGGCCATGTCAAAATTCGTGTCCTTGAGAACGTTGAAGACAATCTCATTCGAGACAAATATGACATGCTTGAAGCATCTTCGCTATCTAGATTGTTCTTATTCTAATATATCTTCACTTCCCGAAGCCACTGCCATGTTATATAGCTTGCAAACATTGAAGCTCATTGGTTGTCAAAAGCTTAAGTATTTACCAGAAGGTATGAGATATATGAGCAGTCTTCGACACATATTCCTCCTTAGTACTAATTCCTTGGAGTACATGCCAAAAGCTATTGGTCAGCTGAATTCTCTACAGACAATGACAAATTATGTCATTGACAATGATATAGGTCGTGGAATTGATCAACTAAAAGATTTGAATCTAACTGGTGCTCTTTCTCTGACTAAGCTGATAAAAGTGCACAGTGTAGAAAATGCTAAACAAAGCAATATGTCTGGCAAGCATAATTTGAAACGATTGTCACTCGATTGGACAGGCGGAAATTTTGATACCAGAGATGTTGGGAATGAAGAAGATACTAATGCAGAAGGAATTTTAGAGGCCCTTCGTCCTCACAAAAGGCTTGAAGGTTTAGCATTAATAAGATATACTGGTGCTAAATTGTCATCATGGATGCACGACTCTACACTGTTAGAACATCTGAGTGAGCTTTCTCTGATTGAATGCACGAAGTGCAAGGATCTTCCACCATTATGGCAGTTGCCCTCTCTCAGGTACTTGAGTTTGAATGGTTTGGATAGCTTGACAAACATACGCCTTACTAATGATGATATAGACATTGGACAATCATGTATTTCTCCACCACCCTTCTTTCCTAAACTAGAAACCATGATGGTTGCCTTCATGCCAAAGCTAGAGAGATGGCACCAGAAGGTGGGAGGACAAGTAGCAGTTGTATCATTCCCTCGGCTCAACTTCCTAAGTATTTATGGATGCCCAATGTTAGAGACACTACCCGAGGGACTCCTGCATCAGCTGCCAGCCCTCGAGTCAATACGTATCGTTCGCTGCCCTAAATTGAAGGAGGCCTTCTCAAGAGGAGGCGCCTTTTGGAATTTGGTTGAAGCAATTCCATATAGTTTGCGTGCCCTTGATTGAGATGCCCGTGTGTCTATGATTGCGTATTCTGCTGCGGGCCTCATGAGAATATTTATGCTTTCCAAGATTGATGTATTTGGTGAGCTTGTTAATTGTAATTATGATGAGCACAACCTACCTAGATTTGATGCCAAAACTTAAAAGCATGTGTAGCTATGTAAAGATGGTTCACTTCTGTGTAATTCCTTTTTTTCACGTATCTGTTGTTATAGAGTATGATGTTATCACACCATGTATCTGTGTAAAGCTTTGATATGTTATTACTCATGCTGATTTGCAAAACGCAATATGCATAGGTCATATTTCCTTAGTAGATTATGGCCGGCCATAGCTTTATCTTTGTGGACTAAAATGTGTCAATGTATATCACTCAGTCTTAAAGAAACCGCTGTCACTAGACGCCATGGGGAGACCCTCGGGGAACTAATGAAGACACGTGGGCGTCGCCGCCCCAATCGACAGTTGCGAACCCTGGATCCCTAACACTCCAGCCAGGTAC